TGTGTGTGTGTGTGTAAAACTAGGATGTAGATTTTAGTCTGGCTAGGCTCTACAAAGTGACCATGTAAAAATGGCCTCGTGAGGCTTCATTTTTATAACTTAATTATCATATTTGGGTGAAAAGTTACAGGGTTAAAAGCAAAACAGTGCTTTTCCTTAACTGCCAACCCTGCAGACTGAATATGGGAGGGGAGACTCAAACTTGATTCTCTCAGTAAATTAAATTCTGTAGGCCAGTTTAGTTAGATACCTGTGCAACTCCTTTGCTTTCAATCTGTTTGCAACGATGTAATCAATTGGAACTTGCTGAAAAGTTCTATTAGGGCCTAATGATCCAATGTTCAAATAAATCAATGGAAAGACTCTCACTGACTTAGCGAGTCAAGAAGAGAGTAGCAGGGCAGTTTGTGTGTCTTACCCTCTCTTACTCATGTTGACTTTGCAGAGCTAACAAGAGTAAAAATTCACTTTTCCTACTGAACTTATATTTATTAAGTTTTAATTTACATGCGTCTTGAGTAATAAAGTACCGTTTCTCTCCATTCACTTTTCAGAAAAGGACAAAAATCACACTGTGAAGAGTAACTAATGCCTAGTAGTGCCTTCTTAAAGTATAGAACTTTTTTGGTCCTTGAAGGCATTCTATGGCCTACAGCAATTTAGGTTCTAAATTAATCTTGAACTTTTAAGACTGATTATTGAAGGCTAACATTTGCAAATGTGGTCATTAATTTTGGGTAACCAAGTGCCTGAACCAGGATCTGATTTTTCAGCCAGTTAAGCACCCAATGCCCTTTATAACAGGATTGGACCCCAAGGGAGGCTGCGCAGCTCTTGCCTTCACTCTGGGTCCCTGGGTTATGCTCCGTTTCCCTCACCTGCCACACCTAGATATAATTTGCTGATCGGTGAAAAGGGAGGCTTCCCTAGGGTCTCAAAGTGAGCCCTTGTTTGCTCTCAGTCTGTGGGTTCCTCCTGAACCCTGCTGTCCTGCCCTCTGGTGCCAAATATGGCCCCCTGTCCTGGACAGGCACCACCCCGTCAGGGCACTAATCACCTTAAAGGTTAACTTCATGGCCTCCAACCCCCCTACAGCCATGCTCATGCCTCACAGTTGCTACCAATTAATAACTTTAGTGGACGCATAGACCCAGCCTAATATCTGGCCTCCTCAGGCCTCAATGTTCTGATTCAGTCTTCACCCATCTTGGACTGTGGGCTTGCTGGCCCTCTCAGGCAGTAAGCTGATTAGCTCTCTTTAGTTCACATCCATCTTGGACTATGGGCCCCTGGCCCTAGTCTATGCCCTTCTTTGGGCTTGGGGCCCCCTATCCCTGTTTCCCCTTTTCTCTCACTCACTGCAATGAAGCCCCTGCCCTCTGACAGGGCTCAAGACAGCCATGTGCCCCTTGGGCACTCTGGGACTTCCAAACCTTCCCTTTAGTCCCTTTCTGGTCCACTGGTTGAACTGCACCGAAACCCTAAACACCCTGGCTGTAACTCAATCCATAGCCTTTTGGCTATATAACAAAATCATTTTTTCACCCAGAGTACCAGGTCCCTGCCAGACCTCAGTGCCTTACTTTCCACTTCCCAGCTGTATCAGGGTCTCAGTTTGTACTGCAGCTACAATCCTCTCCCAGCAGAGCTCCTCCCTTTGTGGCTTCCAGAGGCAGACAGCCTGGCTTGGCTCAGGTCCAGGCTTATATGCTGCTCTAGTCCTGCCCACTCCCAGTCAGGTGATGGGGTAGCCTTGGCACAGCTACTTCTCTCTCATTCTAATGGACAGCTTACTGCTGTTACTCCAGCTACCATAGCTGCACCTCTGTTTTGGCAGGGCTCTATCCTATCATATTATTGCTGTGCAACTAGCACAGCAATAGTCCCTCTTAGCTTCTTGCCCCTGGCTGCCTATTCTTTTGCAGCTAGCTCTTGTTAGGCTGCCTGAGCACTGCCTACTACTATTTTTCCCCTCTTAAAGTAACAGGAGCCTCAGGCTCCCTTTTATACACCTAAAGACTTCAAATGGATTTGCAGGTTCCCAGCATTCTAAATATCAGACTTTGGGTTTAAAATAAATGACCACTCTTGAAACCACCAGCCTCATGGTTTACACACAAGGCATTTTGAACTAATCTGGACAAAGCAATAGAGACTGCTCTACAGAAAGTTATTCTGCCTGCTCACTGGGTGCGTTGATTAGGTGACCTGCCTGCTCTTTCCTTCCTTCTCTTCCAGCTCTAATTCCTATTATAGTTTCTTTAAAAATAATGGGTGAAATGATGTTTAAAAATGCTTTACCTGTAGAAATCTCATTCCTTTTGAAATTTTCAATGTATTCATTGCCAAAGGAATCCTTCCCAACCTACAAGAGGGCATACAAATGTTTGATCTTCTACAGCCAGCAGAGTGATACAATGCAATGATAACACACTAGAGCATCTTTTACAGCATGTTTGTTTCTAAGTTACCTGATTAAATAGCATTTTACAGATTTTTCCCTTGACTACAATAAAGAGCCCTACTGAAACACACAGAAATTATGCACTTCCTACACTCACTTTTAACCCTCTGGCTCTGCAGTTCATAAATGTTTCTAACACTAATATGGATTGCTTTATTTTGAATCATTATTGTATTTCAGCCTGAAAACATTAACAGTAATTCCATCATTATTCTCATTTGTTATGCATATTTTTAATTTCAAAATTCCTTTTTAACTTAATTTCTTCCCCACTGAAAAATGCCAGGTGTTACACATTGAAAGTGTGGTTATACTCCGGAAAGTGATTTTATACATGGCATCTTAGAATTCTATATTTTTCAGTATCAAATATACTCATTCTACAAATCTTTTTTTGTTTTAACTGACAATGCTATAGATTAATTGGCATTTTAGAGTCAGAATGCATTGTATTCTGCTTTTAAAACTGCCTGAAAGAGTCAATAAAATGGACCTTGGCTGATCATTTTGTTGAGGATGGATAAGGCCAAATAGAATCTTGCTCACTGTGGCTCTCCAGGGTAAAAGGAACCCTATCACCATCCAGCTCCCTCTATATATTAAACAAATAATTTGAAGACACACAGGTAACAGATGGAGAAATAACATGCCACTTTTAGATAAACCAAGAGATGTGTTAAAATACTTGATACACACATACACCAGTATTGTTATTACTGTGTTTAGATATAGATAATATAAAGTCAGTGTAGCTTTTGTGTATATATTGTATATTTACATAAACACACACGAGCATGAGCACACATACACAGGCCCAATATACCTTTTAATTAATTAAATTGGACTTACACCTTCAGCAGAGTCAGTTCCCAACATATCAGCATTGTTGACTAGAGTGTAATTTCACTTTAGGATATAATGTAAGGTCTGAAGTCCCACAACAGATCCTCAGCAATGTGATACTGCTTGAGCTGAAGAACTGTCCTTCAGATAAGTTCTATCAAGATCCCTTCTTCCCATCCCAGCTGCTGTCCAGATGACCAATGAGTTGTGTAAAGAACCTGAGAGATTAGCCCAGGCCCTGGGCAACAGTCCCTCTGTGGTTAAAACAAATACCAGTATCTGAAGCTGTGTTTGAACTATTGCCAATGATAAAATAGCTGCTTTGCTACCTACTGATAAAGATGTAGCTATGCATGTACCTCCCTCTTTCAGGAAGATTTGGGATATCTAGAGTATGAGATAGGGTATAAAACCAAACGCTATAATGCACATATAGCACCACAGATTGAGGTTCATTTTCACTCAGCTCATTGCACAGCCATATTTTGAAGTTTTCTTTCATTTCCAATAACATCTACAAAAGATTTATCTTAAAATATCATTAGGGATGGTCACTGTCTCTAAATAGCAGCTTGGAGGACAACAAATCAATAGAAGATCAGTCCAGGACAGATGGTAGTGAGGCTAATAAGCATCTGCTCTGGTTAGTGAGGATGTTTTTTTCAAGGAGGTTTGCAATGGAGGATATTTCTGGATCTCTGACTACTCTTGGATTCCAGGGGCTGACTGTCAGATGCAATCTCTGACATCTATTTTTGACTTGATGATTAGAGCCACCTCTGACAAGGATCCTGCCAAAATTATCCATGACTGTGACTTACCAATCATACTACTGCAAAGTGCTATACCTGGGGATCTCCCTGATGGCTGTTATGAAGCTTCAACTAGTACAGAATATATATACTTGCTTACATACTTAAAGGACATTTCATAAACATTTTCCAAAAGCTGAATTCATTTCCTGTTCCCTTCAGTGTTGATGATTTCAATGTATAAAGCCTAAAACATTCAATCCTGGGGATCCTAGAGATCTGCATTGCTTGCTGTTCAGCTGTTGTAATGATAGATTAATTGGGGTATTTTTGCTCACAGCCTCTAGACAGGAACACTGTGAGGCTGGGGGAAGACCCATCAGAAGGTTATCAGTAGAAGAAATTATGCTTTGGAATGTCTTACCCCCTTGCTTTTATCGGTGTCCAAATCTGCTAAAACTTAGGGAATGGTATAAGACTTATTTGGTTATTCAAGACTTGCCCCCAAGGCATCCAGCTCACTTGGGGATTGAGGGCACATTTCCTGACACTCAAAACTGTATAACAGATCTTTTTAAACGTTCTCTACATGTGTTCAGACCCTGCTGGATAGGGACATTATATAAACAGAAATATAATGTTTGGTTTGTTGACTACAGAACACATTATGCACTGAAATATCATTTTTCAATTCGAGTCACTAATAATTATATCCATTGCTACTAGGCTTGTAGCTACATAGTTGGTGAATAAGAATGAGTGTGCATTACATCAAAATCTTTCAATATGTGCTTTTTCCCTGGCTTGATGTTACCAGTTTTCCCACGTGCCATCAGGAGGCCTGACATCATAACAGCTGAAATTTTGGCAGTCCACAGTCAAACTCAATCTGTACCTGTAAATTAATTGTAATGAAAAAATCTCTTTGCTGACACATCTTTTGTTCCATCTGTTCTGCATATGAAATCCTGCGATTAACTTGTTTTGGAGTGTATGTATTTACTGTTTTTCTGGCTTAGGGAATGTACCCAATATTTGCTGCTAAAAATAAGTGAAAGCAAGTAAGAGAAAAAAAATGGTTTGAAAGGTGACTACAATAATCTGAGCTGTATCAGATACAGCAACGTTCTTATAACGAAGTAAAGAGTTGAGCTCACTGCTTTCTTTCTGAAGCTGGACTCAGACTGTCCATGCACAGAAATCAGTAGGAACTGTAGAAAGAAAAAAGGCAAAATAAAGGATAATGAAGCATTTCCTTTTTAAGCAAGTGAATCAAATGGAACTCGAACACATAAGGAGAATTTGAATCCACAGCAGCACAAGAATTATAACAACATTAAAGCAATCAGATAGGATTATTTCTGGATGTCTGCCAGAAGTAAAACAGACAAGACTTTCTTCAGCACAAATCATTCCTCCCTAGACCTGAACTTCTTAAGGTACAGACAGACGTAAGAACTGTTCCAATATCAGAGAATACTGCTACAAGCTTATATAATGCAACTGTTATATCTGCATGATACTGTAGTAATATCAATTCAATAAAACTGTTGCAAGCTTAACCCTGCTTCAAGCCCCACATGTATGTAACAAGACAATAGGGAAGTTAGAAGACTGCGCATCCAAAAATGTAGGTGTCAGCTTGGTTAAGATGCTTATGAAGAATTCATAACTGAGACAGAACCATGAATTCTACAAACCAAGTCTCAAATCACCTTCTGTACGCAGACACGTTACGTTCATAATTTACAATTATTATTTTAATTCATTACCTTGTATTTGTAAGATGAATGAGTTGGCTGTGGAATTATTAAGACTATATGGAAGTGGATGATAACATTTCTACAAAAGATAATAACCTCTCCCACAACTATACTGTTGGTCTGCTAAAGATATCACAAAAATCCCTTGCCTCTTATACATGTCCTGGACCATCACAGCTACAACACTCCAATCCTACTACCAAAGGAGACTATATTAGCCTAGTAAAAGTCAAAGTCCTTTTTCCTGATGGACTGCCACACAGACATTAGGATGAAATCTTGAGATTAAAGTATAAACATCTTCATAGCTCTGGAAAAGATATTGTTATTACTATATTCAAAATAGACTAAGAATAGGCCTAGATCTCACTAGTACCAGAAATAATCACTGGAAATAATACACTCTATTCTACAAAGCACTTTGGGAATATGGGGAGCAAAGTGGCTATGAATGATATGTGCAAACTTGTATTAATATTAAATGGAAAATTGACAGCCAACTGGAAAAGGTACAATTTCAGGACTGAAATTTCAGAAAGCATTAACAATTTCAGGCGCTAAGCTTCAATTCCTTAAAATGGCTTGTTAATGTAGAAAAATAACTAAGATGCAATGACTTATTACCACCTGTTAATTTAGGTTAACTATGAAACTTCATATTATACAGGTCTCATTAACATATGCAAATAATTGTTGTATGAGATGAAACTATTTTGTGAGGCCATAAAGTCAATACTAATTTTTCAATAAAAAGTAGGAAGTGTTAGCAAGTTATGTAGACCTGAGAAGAATTCTTGATTCTGCTTTATCTGCCTCTTCTCCAACACACAAAGAATAATAAGGCAAACTATTAGGCTATCTGCAGACATTCAGACAGCTTGTGTCTGAATTGATTCAATTTTTGCAGACTAGTGTAACTGGCATACATTGAACAGACAAGCAAGTGAATAGATATTACTTTTGATTCCAGAAATGTAGGCACATGCCTGCAGTGGCTCAGGCCAGAAGCCAGGGGATACTAGAGCAAACCCTCCCTTCCCTTCTTCAGCAGCCAAGGGAAGCTGAGCTACATGGGGCTGGCTGGGCCTGGGCAGGCCTGACTATGATTGGGGAGGGTTTTAGACCTCCAGGGACCTCAGCCAGGGTGTGCCTGGAGCGGGGAAGCAACCCTTGCTATGCTTTTTGGGGGGGAAAGGGCAGAAGCATGGCCAGACTCTGGCCCCTGGCATGGTCCCCTGTGGACACAGGGAGGGGGTTTATTTCCTCCCTTCTCCCCTTGAGAAACCCCAGCCAGAGTCTGCTCAGCTGGAGTGAACCAGTGCCTGTCAAGGTCCCCCCTCCCTTCTTGCTGCTCTAGCAGCAGGGGTGGGGCACAGCCCCCTGAAGCAAGAGGAACAGGGAGGGAGTTTATTCCCCCCTCCATCCCCTCTGCCCCACTGGGACTGCACCCAGGGTCTGCCTGGCTAGGGTGCAGCTTCCCCTGTCAGGGTCCATCACCCCTCACCGTGCCAGTGGCAGGGGTGAGGGAGTGGCCAGATGCCAG